TGCTCTCCTTCCACTCTGTTTTGGTTGGATAATTTCTTTCAGTCTATCTGCAGGTTAACTAACTCTTCCCTCTTTCATATCTTTCTGCAATTGAGTTCATCCGATGAGTTTCTTATTTCAGTTTTTGGTTTTTTCAGTTCTAAAATACTCATTTATTTTTTCTTTAGATCTTCTATTTCTTTGCTGACACTTAATTTTTGCATTCATTTAAGTCATTCTGTTAGAAAACTGGGGCTTTGTTTTTCCCACTCTGCCATGTGCCTCCTGCAGCTGTGCCCATGTCAGGGGCCAAGCAATGGCAAGACAGAAAGAGAAAAGCAACTAGACTAGGCCAACCCTCTCAGAACTATAGTTCCAATGAATGTAGAGGAAACTTTCCCTCCCAGAGTTGTAGCTCCGCCCGTCCCCGTTTCAAGGCCACTGCTACCACCACAGCATTGCGAGACATGGTCTATTGGGAACTGGACATACAAGGAGGAACACATCTCTGTTCTTGAGGGTTCATGCACACATTTTTAAGGAATACCTGAGGTATTTAAATGAGTAGCCCTTTTTTTCTCTAACCATCTGTTCTTCATGTCTATCCCATTATTTGTTAAAATAACTAAATTAGAGTTGAGAGAACAATGGATTTCAGCTTTAGTATTAATCATGTAGACTGTACCAAAATTGTTCTCTTTGAGCATCACTCGTCATCCTCACCCCCACCAAAAGGATTTTTTACAGTTATAGGAAAGTTGGGCACAGTGGTGTGCACCTTTACTGCCAGCGACTCAGGTGGCCGAAGTGGGAGGTGAACACCTTGAGCCCAGGGTGTTCAAAACCAGCATGACAACATAGCAAGACCCTGTCTCTCTCTCTCTCTATATATATATAAGTTTCACAGCAAACATTTCAAATACAGATGCTTTTTGACTTTTTTGATGAGATAGTGTCCCAATAAATCCATCATAAAGTTGAAAAATCATAGATCAAAACAATGTAAGTTGGAAACCCGTCTATATATAAAAGTACTTAAAGATCACAAGTAGGGGCCGAATGCTGAGGCTCACACCTGTAATCCCAGCACTTTGGAAAGCTGAGGTGGGCAGATCACTTGAGATCAGGAGTTCAAGACCAGCCTGGCCAACATGCTGAAACCCTGTCTCTACTAAAAAATATGTATATATAAAAATTAGCTAGGCATGGTGGCACATGCCTGTAATCCCAGCTACTTTGGAGGCTGAGGCATAAGAATTTCTTGAACCCAGGAGGCAGAGGTTGCAGTGAGCTGAGATCGCACCACTGCACTCCAGCCTGGGCGACAGAACAAGACTCTGCCTCCAAAAAAAGAAGATCACAAGTAAGTACATAAGAAACTATGCCTTTAAGACCCAATCTATGTTTTGACAACTAAATGTGTTTCCTTAGCCTATGACCATTATCTGATATTTTACCTTGATAATTTCACAGCCCTAGAAGCAGCATAAAGAATTCAAAAAGCTTGAGAGGCAGGATAACCTGTTGTAGAGCCTGAGACTGGTTTCTAATCTTCACTCCACCAGTTCTTATCCATGACCTCTTTGTGCCTCAGCTTCCTCATCTAAAAACTGCTCATAATGTAGTACCTACTCCATAGATTGGCTGAGTGAGGCTTAAATGATGTAATACATGCAAGGTATTCCTACAGTACCTACCCTGTAATAAGCTCTCAGGAAACTTCAGCTTGGTTGCTATGGGGTGCAAAAACTTGTTTCCTTCATAACCTTTTATTTACAAGCTTTGATTGCATTCAACATGGGCAAGCTCCTTAATTCACAGGTTGGTCTTCTTTTTTTAAAGTTCAAGACTCTTGGCCAGGCACAGTGGCTAACGCCTGTAATCGCAGCACTTTGGGAGGCTGAGGCAGGCGGATCACCTGTGGTCAGGAGTTCGAGGTCAGCCTGGCCAATATGATGAAACACCACCTTTACTAAAAGTACAAAAAAATTGGCCAGGCATGGTGCTGGGTGACCGTAATCCTAGCTCCTCGGGAGGCTGAGACAGAAGAATCTCTTGAACTCGGGAGACGGAGGTTGCAGTGAGCCGAGATCGCGCCATTGCACTCCAGCCTGAGCTACAAGAGCAACACTCTGTCTCCAAAATAAATAAATAAATAAATAAAAATAAAGTTCAAGACTCTTGTGCCTCTCTTTATAAATCACTGGCCTGGTTTAGTCCCAACAACAGATCTAAGAATGGTAGTGTGTTTCTGAACACCTTTGGTACAAAGTGATCATTTGGTTATAAGATTTTAGATAGTGAAATAACTGTGTCATTTGTGGAAGCTTCTCCTGGCAATAGAAGACATATAAACTCTGAGTGTGCTCTTTGCAGTGCTTCCTAGATCTTATGTTTTCCTAGTGTGACACTGTTAACATTCATATTGTTACTGTGCATCTTACCTTAGGTCCATGTGCTGACTTTCACTGTTCACATGTTGCTGCAAGGCCTCACCAATAAGCTGCAAGTCGGGGATTTGGACTCTTGTTTGGATATAATGATTGAGGTAAGACTTACAGAAATGAATTCTAATTTTTTTTAAGTGGGCAAATGACACGAAAAAATCAATTCACAAAATAAGAAATAATAATAGCCCATAAAATTGAAAATAATGTAACACCTCATCTTTTAGATTAGCAGAGGTTTAAAAAGCTAAGACTAAAGCGAGATGGGCACTCTGTCACTGCAAGGAGCTCATCAATCGGTATGATCTTTCCGGAAAGTAAGTTGCCATTTTGTATCAAGAGCTTTTGAAATGAGAAAAGATTTTCAGTCACATCTAAGAATCTATTTTTAAGAAATAAATTATGTTCACAGGAGCTTTATTTATAATACAATGGGAAATTAATAATAAGTTTTAAAATTGGGCTGGGTGCTATGGCTCATGCCTGTAACCCTAGCACTTTGGGAGGCTGAGGTGGGCAAATCACTTGAGGCCAGGAGTTCAAAACCAGCCTGGCCATCATGGTGAAACCCCGTCTCTAACAAAAATGCAAAAATTAGCCAGGCATGGTGGCGTGCGCCTATAATCCCAGCTACCCAGGAGGCTGAAGCAGGAGAATCGCTTGAACCCGGAAGGTGTAGGTTTCAGTGAGCACAGATCATGTCACTGCACTTCAACCTGGGCAACAGAGTGAGACTCTGTCTCAAAAAAAACGAAAAGAAAAAATTGGATAGTATGCTAATTTGGAGACTACAATTGTGAAGAGAATAAATTTGCCACATAAATTTTTGTTCATTTATTTTAAAATGTAGACACTAACATTTTGAATCTCAATTTAAATATTTACATTAGACCGGGCACAGTGGCTCACGCCTGTAATCCCAGCACTTCAGGAGGCTGAGGCGGGTGGATCAGTTGAGACCAGGAGTTTGAGACCAGTCTGGGCTACATGGTGAAACTCCATCTCTGCTAAAAGTACAAAAATTAGTCAGGTGGGGTGGCAAATGCCTGTATTCCCACCTGCTTGGGAGGCTGAGACATAAGAATTGCTTGAACCCAGGAGGTGGAGGTTGCAGTGAGCTGAGATCACACTACTGCACTCCAGCCTGGGTGACAGAGTGGGACCTTGTCTCAAAAAACAAATAATTAATTAGATTAATAATTAGATTGCAAATATTTGTAATTTATTATTAGAGTGTAAATAATTAATTAGATTGCAAAGATTCTGAGAACTTCTTGAAGGGAAATTAAGCTACTCTTTGGTGCATCAAAAAAGAAGTAACTGTCTATACAGTCATACAATTATATATGTACATCTGTGAAGGATTTTTCTTTGTTTCCCATTAGTATCAGCCTTTAAGTGTTTCTTATGTGTTTGTTTTTTAAGTAATTGATCCCTAAATTGCATTGAAAACAAGTGCATTCTAAAAGAAATTTCTTCCATCTAATTTGAGCCCAGTCCAACTTGCATTTCTTTGATTAGGACATGTCAGGGCCTCTCTTCAGTAACTGCTTATGTTGGCATATCTTGCTGAGTGCACATAATTGCCATTTGTCCTTTTTCTTCCAAAGATTTTTAACCATGAGTTGTTTGGTGCTGTTGCTGAAGAGAAGGAAGTAAAGCAGATCCTCTCCAAAGTCATGGAAGCACGAAGAAGCAAAAGTTACGACTCTTATGAAATCCTGGGCAAGTTTGTAGGAAAAGATCAGGTTACAAAACTTATCCTTCCCTTGAAAGAGGTAAGGACTTGAATGCAATTCAGGAGATCACAGCATTGGAATCTCATGAGTTCCTGAAAGGAATGATGCGGGGCAACCTGAAACACTGTTCTTGATCATGCATGATTTCCTTAGGTTCTAGGGCCCCAGGACCATATGGCCAGTGAGTGCTTTGATTCAAAAGTCATAGTCCCCGATGTAAACCATGAGATGAGAAAGAAAGGCAGCAAGAATTGAGTGCAGATGAATATTATAGCTGGGTCAAGTCAGCAGCTAAGAACATGAAGAAATCCTGAGGCACACAAGCCACATAGTGCTTATCTCTGAGGTTGAGGTTATAAGTAACATTTCTTTATATGTTATGTCCATCTTTGAAATTTTATTAAGAATTTATTTTAGGCCAGGCATGGTGGCTCACACCTGTAAATCCAGCACTTTGGAAGGCCGAGGCGGCAGGAATTGCTTGAGCCCAGGAGTTCGAGACCAGCCTGGGGCAATATAGCAAGAACCTGTCTCGATTAAAAATGTATATTTACATTTACCAAAAAATTCATTTTAATTATGAGTAAATAGATATTACAAAACCTTTGGACACAGGTTGCCACTTCCAGGTTGCCAAGAGAAAGAAAACTGGCATTTATTGACGTATTATATTCTAAGCACTGCTACACTCTCTCTCCTAATCTGCACACCCTGTGAGATTGATGGTACTTCCATTTTACAAGTAAGAAAATTCAGGCTTGGAAAGGTAGAAAGGAACATGGATAAAGAGAAAAGTCAGGGTTTAGTTCCAGATCTTTCAGATCCAAGTTCACATTCCTACCATGGTTTCATTCTGCCTCCTGAAGCTCAGGGACTGTAATTTACCCACCTTCCTGTTGATTTCTGTGCCTATTGCAGAGGTGAACATCAGTAAATGTTATTGATTTATTGGTTTTGTGTATTAAAACTAGAGCAAAGAGCGCTATCTATTGACATGAATTACATTAGGTCTAAATATTCTGGTGCTAGATGAACTCTATAATTGCTCCTAGAATGCATTTAGTTTTATCTGAGCCTTATCTAAGAATTTTAGATGCATTTTGTGGATGAAAAAGAGTCAACAGAGCACATATATCCATGATGTATATTACAAAGTCCCTCCAAGGTATTGAGATTTATTAATACTATGTCTCATGCAAGATAATAACTCTGAAGCACCGAGTATTTCCTGAGGTTGCTGATCCTGGTTCCCATTAGGTTCCTCTGATTTGGCCCAATAATTGATATCAGACCCTGAGGCTTGGCCATGGCAGCACTTCATTCTCATGGTTCTATGAGGAATGAATACATTTTGTTGATTGTGTGTGTGTGTGTGTGTGTGTGTTTGCCTCTAAGTTACTCCTGTTAATGTACCAGGAGAGTTGATGTTAACTCAGAAGTCTCAGATCTCTGGCATTGTGCCCTGAGGCCTCACCAGCAGAGAACAGGGAGGGAGTGGAGGAAACCCCGAGGCTCACAAGCCTGCACAGTGGTTCTTCCTGGGGTTGAGATTATAGGTCACTTTCACCTTACATGTTTATATCTGTGTTTGAAATTATATTAAGAATGTTTTTTAATTAGGAGAAAGCCAAACATATATTAGAAAGCCAATATGTAAAAGAAAACCACATTATGACAAATCAAAATGCATTTCTGTGTCATCTCAGCATGACATTTGTGTTTTGCCTTTAGATCTTACAAAATACCACGAGTTTGAAACTGGCCCGAAAAGTTCATGAAACTTTACGCCGAATCACAGTGGGATTAATCGTAAATCAGGAAATGACGGCTGAATCCATTCTATTACTCAGTTATGGTTTGATCAGTGAAAATCTTCCCCTGTTAACAGATAAAGAAAAGTAAGTTGGAAAAAAAAAACCCGTCATTTAGGTCTCTGCATCTGATAAGCCATTCTGTGGGTTGTTTTAATACTTTGCTTTAGTAAAAAATAAAATTGTATCCACCTGAGTTCTCAGATGGTACTTTATGGTGTGATACATTTCAACATGAGATTTTCTCATAAATGAGGTAGCTGTGACAGCAGACAATTATTTTGGCATTTCTCTGATACCATTTTGTTTTAAAGATTTATTGGTTCAAAGATAGGATAGATTTAAAATCTATATCTTGTATTCTGATTAAACAGAGATTGAGACCTTAAAAGATGTTAAAATATCTTAAAAGCCAGGTGCAGTGGCTCGTGCCTGTAATCCCAGCACTTTGGGAGGCTGAGGTGGGCAGATCACCTGAGGTCAGGGGTTTGAGACCAGCCTGGCCAACTTGGTGAAACCCTGTCTCTCCTAAAAATACAAAAATGAGCCAGACATGGTGCTGGGCACCTGTAATCCCAGCTACACAGGAGGCTGAGGCAGGAGGATCACTTGAACCCGGGAGGCGGAGGTTGCAGTGAGCCGAGATCGC